CCCTTATCCTGCCCATGGAGCTGGGATGGGCTGGAGAGCCCTTCACCCTGCTACCCATGGAGCTGGGATGGGCTGGAGCAGCCCTTATCCTGCCCATGGAGCTGGGATGGGCTGGAGAGCCCTTCACCCTGCTACCCATGGAGCTGGGATGGGCTGGAGCAGCCCTTATCCTGCCCATGGAGCTGGGATGGGCTGGAGAGCCCTTCACCCTGCTACCCATGGAGCTGGGATGGGCTGGAGCAGCCCTTATCCTGCCCATGGAGCTGGGATGGGCTGGAGAGCCCTTCACCCTGCTACCCATGGAGCTGGGATGGGCTGGAGCAGCCCTTATCCTGCCCATGGAGCTGGGATGGGCTGGAGAGCCCTTCACCCTGCTACCCATGGAGCTGGGATGGGCTGGAGCAGCCCTTATCCTGCCCATGGAGCTGGGATGGGCTGGAGCAGCCCTTATCCTGCCGATGGGATCTGGGCTCCCTCACTGGAGAGGGGACAGCGCCGCTCAGCTCTCTGTCAGGGCTGTCTCTCGCCATCCTGAGCGTTCTGCTCTGTCGATTCCCACCAGAGCGCAGCTCATCCGTGGGGCTCAGACATTTCAAATGTGCTCTGTGGTAGCTGTGCTGGTCTCCTGGAATTAACCCTCAGCAGGAGGCAGGACGGACCCCACGGCCTGGGAGAGGGAGCGCTTTGCTCCCAGCTGTTCTGGCAGGTGCCACCCACACACAAACAGGAGCCCGTTGGTAGAGGCAAGCAGATGGTGACATCTCATTCCTGTATTTCCAGTGCCACCTTCTGTACAGAAGGGGAAACCTCTGAGTTCAGCAGCTCCGAGGAATGAAACTGGAAAATTCTTCCCCCACCCACATGGAAAAACTCAGTCACTATTGAAATTAAACACTGAAGGATTTACATTTTCAGTAGCTCAACAGCACACTGAGTTGTGTGCTAGAGACACCCACAGGTGCCAAAACCTTCTAATTTTACAAAGAAAGTACATCAGCCTCACTTTGTGTTTGTCATAAATTTGTGCCATTTCTGGGATGGGATGTAATGGGTGAGAGAAATAAACATCCACTATTATAAAAAAAAGTAAAGCATAAGTCTGTCTATAAATGTCAAAACCACATGCCAAATAAATTCATGGGGCCATGATAAAGTATGTGATCAGGAATAGTTGTTTTCCTTTGTCATCCTGAGCCTTTCCCAGAGGTTTTCAGCCCGGGACTGCTGTGGGGCTGCAGTGTCCTGGCTGTGCCGTGGAACACACCCCTCATCCTTGGAGACCACACTGCATCCAGCCACACAAAGGACTGCAGGAAACATCCAGCTTTTTCATATTGCAAAAAGAGTTTGCAAGCATTAAAAAAAGAGCCCCAAAACAAAAACAAGTTGAATTTTCATGTCCCTAATTTCAATTTCAAATATTAAGAACAAACCTGGTTTTTATCAGTTGGTGCCCCGCTTGGTTGAGCCGCCCAGAGCCACTGTCAGAGCTGGATCCAGAGCAGCAGCTGTGCAGAGCCACATCCCTGTGAGGGCTCAGGGCAGACTGGATGAGCCTTTGAGCACCTGGGCCTCGTGGATCTCCCTGCCCTTATCTGGGGTGAGCAGGTGATCTTTAAACTTCCCTCCTATCCCTAAGCATTCTGTGATTGCATTCGTCCTTCTACTTGCCTACAGTGCCGAGAAAATTACTTGATTACTTGACTAATTACATTCAGGAGGTTTTCCTCTAAGCACTATTCAGCATGATTATCTGGTATCTCCAGAGTTTCATTAAAGAGACAGACAAGGTCTTAGCATCTTTCCTAATAGCTGCCCCATGCTGCCCTGCCAGATCTGATAAGCTCTCAAGATGATTTGGAACAGCCTTAGAACATCCAACCACTTTTAACTGGGGTCAGTTCTTCACATCTGCAGATGCTCCTGTCACTGAGGGATCAAATCCTGCCCTGTGACCAGGACGGGCAGTGTGTGGCACAGTGGGCATCCCTGGGAGACAGAGAGGGTGCTCAGGCAGTGAAATAAACAGAGAGGGTGCCCAGGCAGTGAAATCCCGCTCCGGTGACTCTGCCCCTGCGGCAGCAGCTCCGTGCCCCAGCCTGGCTCTGGGCACAGCTGCCCTTTGCTGCCAGCATCACTCGGGGACGCTGCTCTGAGGAGAGCTGGAACCCAGTGAATGAAAGGCTCCACAAACTCCTCTGAAACCTGGATTTAGGTCTTTGTTTCCACAACACTTGCATTTTGTTTAAAAGCGAGTGAAGCAATTCTGGCTGAGCAGCCTGTTTGGAGTTTGTTTTCCAGTTGTCTGTAGTATTTGAGTCTCCCTCCCACCAAACTTAGGAGTTCAGGTTCTGTGGGAAACTTTCCAAATTCTAGCTGGAATACTCAGCCATTAATTCCCAACTTGCCCATCTGCCAGGTCTAGAAAACATTTCTTTAAATCCTTTAAAACATATGTCTAAACTGCTTGTTTATCTGTCAACATTGTCTCACACTATTTAATTTTAAAGCTTAACTTTTTAAGCCACTCAAGGCCGATCCTGCTCCCAAGGGGAGGAGCTGTCAGTGGGTTTGCACCATGTAAGAGCTGCCTGTGGCACCAGACAGGCTTTGTGCCCATGACCACGCACCGAGCTGCTCAGGTTCTCCCACAGCATCCTTTTCCCTAACGCCTGTTAAAATCTTGAAAAAAAATTGATTTGAAAGGAGGCTGAGGAGCTGGAGAGAGAAAATGCAATTTCCTTGTTAGCTTAGCTGGCCTGCCCAGAGGCCTGATACCCTGAGGGGAGCTTGGCTGGCACAGAATTGCTGCCACACGGTGTGGCTGCTGACAGGAACCGGTTTGTGTGGAGCTGTAGGGGACACTAACCTCAGTTCAGACAGGACAGCTCTCATGGGTAAATGGCTGAGTGTTTGCAGAGGAGTGGCTGCCTCCTCCTGCACTGCTCCAGTCCCAGAGCTGGCAGCACCAGAGATTTCCTCATTTATGTCGCTGTGCCGCAATATTCCTGTGCTTCCACTGCCGGGCGCTTGACTCCGGGAGCTCCCCAGGCTCAGCTGGTTCCATGCCCTCACCTGGTTTTCAAAGGAAAGCTCCCCAAAAGCGCCTCTAAAACTGTCACTACATGGCCACACACACAGAGCACGTATATGGACACAAAATATGTTATTTATTGTGAATTTTGCAAAGACACATTTAAGCAACAAAATATACATTTGTGAACCTTTAGTTTTATACATAACAATCTGCTACCATAGCAATAAATTAAATATACATTATTTACAACAGACATAGGTCACCAGAAACTACAAAGCACTGCCTCTCTACATCAAAAATAAACTTTGTCAGATACATTCTCCAGGATTCATAGTCACTCTATAAACTCTCCTCACATTCTCTGCTGTAAGCGCAGCGTTCCCTTTGCAGGACGCGGGCAGCGCTACATTCACTGGGGCGGCGGGAGCGTGCGGGGCCGGGCAGGGCTGAGCGGGGCCCGCCGGGCTCGGCACCGGCACCGGCACCGCCCGCGGCCGAGACCCGGCCCGGCACAGCCCCCGCGGCACAAACAGCCCGGGGCCCCCGCCGGCCGCTCCCGGGGACCCTCAGAGCTCGGGGAAGGAACGGAGTTTGTGCTTACGATGCCCTGCTTCCCTCACAAAAAGCAATTCCTGTTGTGCTTCGGCGCTGTGGCCTTTCGAGACGCTGCGAGTGCGTGCCAAGAGCTTTGCCGAAGGGAAGCCCAGGCAGGGCAGGGCTGGGCAGGGCAGGGCTGTGCCAGCCCGGGGCAGCCGCGCACCGGCCCCGGCCGAGGCGATGCCCCCGCAGGGAAAGGTCCCGCACCGGCCCCGGAGCAGCGGCCCCAGGGGTGCAGCTGCACCTGGGCTGGGCCGAGCGAGGGGCTGCAGCACCAGCAGGCAGAGGGGGAGCACCCCCAGCCACAGAGAGCCCTCTGCAAGGGGGCAGAGACCCCCAGACACCCCCAGCCACAGACACCCCTCTGCAGAGGAGGTCAGAGACCCCCAGAAACGCCTCCGCACAGCGGGGGCTGCCCCATCACCCCCCTAAGGCATTTCTGAGCCCCCTCTGCTCCCTCTGCCATGTCACTTCTGAGGAGGGCAGAAGCTGTGTGCATGGAAACAGTGGAATCAGAAAGGAAAATGCACTGCCCAGTAATTCTAGTGTCAGTTAAGGATCCTTTCCTTTATATATATAAATATATATATTTTATACATATACATATATATATCCCTTTCATATATGTATAGATGTGTGTCACTTATGAGCACAAAACATTTTGCAAGATATCTACAGGAGCACCTGCACGGCCGCTGGCAGCCCAGAAGTGCCCGGGATGCGGCAGGAGCCCCGCGGGGGCGGCTGGAGCCCGGAAAGCGGGACGGGGCAGGGCAGGGCAGGGCAGGGCAGCCGACCCCGCTGCTGGAGGGCACACAGCGGGCTCCAGCCCCCTGGCGAGGAGCGCTGCGGGAAACGCACCCAGGAGCGCTGCGGGAAACGCACCCAGGAGTGCTGCGGGAAACGCACCCAGGAGCGCTGCGGGAAATGCACCCAGGAGCGCTGCGGGAAACGCACCCAGGAGCGCTGCGGGACACGCACCCAAGAGTGCTGCGGGACACGCACCCAAGAGTGCTGCGGGACACGCACCCAGGAGCGCTGCGGGACACGCACCCAAGAGCGCTGCGGGACACGCACCCAGGAGCGCTGCGGGAAACGCACCCAGGAGCGCTGCGGGACACGCACCCAGGAGCGCTGCGGGAAATGCACCCAAGAGTGCTGCGGGACACGCACCCAGGAGCGCTGCGGGAAATGCACCCAGGAGCGCTGCGGGACACGCACCCAGGAGCGCTGCGGGACACGCACCCAGGAGCGCTGCGGGACACGCACCCAGGAGCGCTGCGGGAAATGCACCAAGGAGCGCTGCGGGAAATGCACCCAGGAGTGCTGCGGGACGTGCACCCAAGAGTGCTGTGGGAAATGCACCCAGGAGCCAAACCCGGCCCCAGTGCTGCTTCGGCGGGCTGGCAGGGCGACAAGCCCACAGCACTGCAACCCTCCCTGAGGCTTCACACTGTTCTCTGCCTGTTAGTCCCGTTCGAATAATTCCCAAATCTATCTAGGTCAAAAAAGAAAGCCACAGTTTCAAGTGAAAAAAAAAAAAAAAGAAAGCAACAAAACAACCAAAAATGGCAAACCAGCTGACAGTAGCCACTGCATCATCTGCTGAAAGATCTCACGGAGATCAACACCCACAGGAATGACAACATCTACAGAACCGAGTGACTTCTCAGAGGAAAAAAACCCAGAGCAGACCCTGGGAGCAAGTCATTGCACCAGTCAGTGTTTCACTGTGCAGCCTCAGGAAATCAGACCAAAGCTTCTAAGAGGCAAATTGGGGGTGGGTTTGAAAGTGCTACTGAAGCATCATCAGACAAGTGCTGAGCAGCAAAGTGTGTGATCCTGAGACACCTACAGCTGCGGGCTGGGCTGAGCACACGGCATGCTCTCCTTCCAAAGGAAACTCAAGGCTTAAACCCTATTGAAATGCAGCTGGCTGGGAGCAGGAGGGAGCATGCCCACGGGAGTTATTGGTATTTACTAGTCCTACACAGCACTTAGGGCCGGTGAAACTGTTCCCTGCCTTTTCACAACTGTTCTCCTTCTTTAACTTGGTTCCCCTCCCCCCATCATAGCTACAGCCTTCCCCGTGGATTAATTCCAGCACCTGTGTGAAGCGGGTCTAAGGCTCTTGGAGAGCACCTCCCTGCAGGACCAGGGTGAGCAGAGCACGTCCTGCTTGCCTGGGCTCGCCTCTGGCCAGGCAGATGACAGGAGGAGGGCAGGTGGGGGCTGAACCCCATAAGCACTGGCCCCAGAGAGGGGAGCAGGAGCAGGCACAGCCAGGGCTGCTCCAGGAGCGCAGCTCTGCCCCTCTGACACCTCTGCCAGGCGCTTTGTGCTCCAGGAGCACCCACGGGGGAGGTGGCTTTGGCACTCAAAGGCCTGCTTTCAGTAGGAATCACAAACCTGAGGAACTGCGTTCACTTGAGACTGAGAACCTGATTTCATGAGGGTGTCCAAAGGTCACAGGCTGGGGGCACAGGGGGGAATATCTCTGCAGCATCATGGCCTGTCTTCCAGAAAATGGGTAAGGGAAATCTATGGGCAATGTGAAATTTACAGACAGGCTTCAGGAAACTTCACATGAAGCTCCATAAAAGAGCAAAAGGATTTCTTGGCATATTGAGAGAGGTATTTTCTGGGAAAGGGCATTATTGGAGAGTTACCTTGCAGAATCTATAATCCTTTCATAACAACAAGAGTTTGCTCAAAAGCAGCAGGACAGACTCTGTAAGGGCTGGAGCAGCCTAATGCCTCCCAGATCACCAGAGTTTTATGCATTTGCCTGCCTGGTGATCCAAGCCATAGGGAAAAGCAGAGCCCACCAGGTAAATCCCCTCTGGTTCCAGTTCTAGCACTAAGAAAAGCTAAAGCCGTAATACAGCACAGCTTTGGGTCACCTTTCCCAGGCCTGTGCCCAGTGTCAGGCAGGGACAAAGCAGGCAGGATGAACCTGCCAAGGAGGATGAGCTGGTGCTGTCCCCAGCTGCCCTCCCTGGGCCAAGTCACTCACTGCCTCTCGTGCAAGAGACTGAGCAGGTCTGGAGCGAGGGGCTGCCTCTGCCCCAAGAGTTTTGGGGTGTAGGGAGGAGCTGGGGGATGGCTGGAGGGACCCTGCAGACCCCACTCCAGGGAGAGCTGCCCAGGACCCCCCTGGGAGGTTCTGCCCCATTGTCCCCAGGGAAGAGCAACAGCAAACGATGGTGGAGGGCAAACTGCCCCAGAGCCACTAGCACCTAACCTTGGCCTGACCCCCACCCTTCAAAAAACAAACATAAACCCCTGTTTCCCCACTGGTAACTGCAAATAAAGCATGCAGGGACCTAAACTATGTGGAGGTCTCTCCTGCTGCCCCTCTGCCCAGAAGGAGCTGCCAGGCAACCCAGGGACAGGCGGATGGACGGTGCCACCAGCTGCGGCGCACTGGGCAAGCACAGGGTGACCAAAGGGGACATGGCCCCGGCCAGGAGTGCAGCACAGGCAGGGACAGTCCCCTCCTGCACGCAGAGGGGCACAGGGCTGTGCTGCACAGCACAGGGTGAGAAGGTGGCTGTCCCTGTCAGGACAGGGCTGCAGCAAGGTGAGAGCTCTGTTCTGGTGTGCGGGCGAGGGCACCTCGCTGCCCATGGCCGAGGCGTGCGTGCTCCATGGGGTGTTGAAGATTTTTCCCTTTGTTGAAACATTCTGTGCCGAGAAGAAAAGGATAAAAGTCAGGAGTGTGGAAGGAGAATATTCCCACCCCGGAGGTGCTGGCTGTGAAGCACCTGTCCCAGGGAGGGAGCTGATGCCACAGCAGTGCCCTTCCCCAAAACACCAGGCCACCCATCACTCCCGGGCTGCGGGAGCAGGAAACCCAGTGACTGGGTGAAAAGCCCAGCTTTTGAGACCCATGCTTTCAGAAATATAACTTTCTTTCATTCCAAGTTCTATGGGCTCTTCTGCTCAGTTTGGATCTTCCTAATGACACCCTTAATTCCGTGGAACAGAAGGCACCCAGGTAGATCCCAGTGAGTTCCCTTTACCTCTGCCCATGAAATCCATCTCGTGTATCTTCTATTTCCCCTTGGATTTTTGGAATGGGTAAGGGCCTGCACTGCCTTTCCACCCCAGTGCCCAGAGCACAGCACAGCAAACCTGGAGATGGGCACCAGTGTTTGACAGAGGTTAACTGGGGAAACTGCAGCCTGCTGGGCTGACCTGGGAGCAGGTGCAGGAGCACGGTGCTGCAGACAGGAGCAGCAGCGCTGCGGGGTGCACACTGCCACGCATCCCTGCCCTTTCCCTCCCTCACCTGCAGCAGCATCCAGGGTGTTCTAAGCACAGCATGGATCCCACAGCAATAACAAGCAGAGTGAGCAGCTGTGGGTAGCTGAACACAGCTGGCCCCCAAGCAGCCTTTTTGCACAAAGCAAAACACACCAACGCTCACCTGTGACAAGTTCATGACTTCCTCCTGCTAGTGGCTCTATGAGAAAGAACAGAACACGGGGTGGGTTGCAAACAAAGGGGCAAGAAGTCACAAAATCCCTTCCCTTTTCTCCGCCATGGGCCCAGAGGCACCCCCAGAGCCCAGAGGCCCATGCCAGGCAGGGAGGACACGGCTGGCAGCATCCACCAGTGAGAGCGAGCCCGGGCACCTACCAGGCTGGAGCTGCCATGGCTGAGCTTGTCAAAGCGAAACTTCAGGTTGGACCTTGGAGAATTTCTGTTCTTTAGATCTGCTGGAGGGAGAGGACAAACAAAGAACAAAAATAATAAACTGTGAACAAAAATATTTGCTGTAGTACTGGCTGCACTGGCCCAGCTAGGCACTTTAATAGGCTGTCAGGAGTGCTACCAATATTTAGTCTGCCTTGGCTGAATGTTTGGCAAAAGCTGTACATTAAGTGTTTGCGATGGAACAAATTGAGGCTTAATTACATTTCACAGTCTTTCTCCTGGAAATGCCACTGAAAAGGCTACAAGGAATGACTGATCCATATAATGTATGGGTGGATTTTCATGTTCTTGGCAGGAAAAATACAAAATAAACACTTCAAGCATTAAAAGGGGCTGGTTTAAGGGTTCAGAAAATCACTTATGAAGTAAGGAGGAGGACCTGTGGGGTGTTGAGACACAAAAAGCCTGCCTGCACTCCCTGGTCCCATTTTGCCTGCAACACTCCCAGTTACTGAGCTGTTTGGGTCTATTTGTGCTTCCCGGCTGTTTCAGAAACAGCTCCTCAGCTGACAGTGCGTCTCCTCGTGGCTGCTGGTGCCTTGTGGCAGGCTCTCTGTGGCTCAAGGAACCAGAGCCATGGGGATTTGTGGGCGAGGGGTGGCTGTGGCCATCCCGTCTCACTGCACCCTCACCACAGAACGGGCCAGCAAAGAGCTTTTCCTGCCTGTTTGGCCCTTCTGAGCTGCACCTCATTGTGCAAATCATCCGACTGAAATGGATGGAGCTGGTGAGTGGGTTGGCACGAGAGGAATGGAGCCAAGACCACGGGAAGCTGATTGTTGATTAAGTAATTGTGAGTCATGGCTCAGCCTCTGGAGACAGAGTTTCCACGACTACTGCACATGCTTGTCAGGGGAGACAGAGGGAACAAAGCCACAGCAAGAGCCACCTCTGCACTCTAATTGAGGAAGGAAACCAATTCCCCATGGAAGTAACCACAGCACATGGGGCCATGTGTCCAGAGCAGCCCTGCCAGGATGGGGCTGCCCTACGCCCGTGGGTGCCCGCCCTGCCATGGTGGGCACGGCTGCTGCTTCACCCTGGGGCAAGGCTGGGAGGGGGCTCCTCCATCCCCACCCGCCCCACAGGAACCCGGCGCTGTGGCTTTGGGCGGCTCTGGGAGGGGAAGGCAGAGCTGGTGCCCCTGGCCTGACCCACCTGTGGGGCTCCTGCTCATGATGACGGGGGTGGCCGCGGCCCCCGCGCCGGGGCTGTCGCTGCCGGGCGAAGCGCTGTACACAAACACCTCCTGCTTGAACGGCGACGCCGTGGAGGGCTGGCTCCCCTGCTCACACACACAGCACATGGCTCCTCCTGCACACGGGCCTTCCCCGCACCCTGCCAACGCCCCGCTGCCCCCGGGCCCGCTGCACACACTGGCCTGGGCAGAGCGAGCAGTGCCAGGGCATTCCAAGGCTCGCCGGGGTGCCACGGAATCACAGACTCCTTTGGGTTCTTGGTTTGGAAGGGACCTTAAAGACCATCTACCCGACCCTCCCTCCCACGGGCAGCGACACCTTCCACCGGCCCAGGCTGCTCCAGCCCTGTCCAACCCGGCCTTAGACACCTGCAGGGATGGGGCAGCCACAACAGCCCGGGCCCGCCAGGCACAGCACCCTGCACAACACCATCCTCCCACAGCCAGGGACGGGCTGAGCCCCTCCGCCTCAGCAGCGAGGAGGCACCTGGGGCCGGCAGGCACGTCCCGCTCAGAGCCCGGGGCTCTGGGGGCAGCAGGAGCCCGGGGAGCGGGGAACGGGCCCGGGGAGAGTTTGGTACCCACCACGCTGTCGTACTCCTCCAGGGTCTCGCTCTCCCCCGCCGTGCTGCTGAAGCTGCTGGTGCTGGAGGAGGAACGGGAGATGTTCGACCGCCCGTTCTCTTTCAGCTTGATAAAAGGCCTAGAGAAAGGCGGAACGAAGGAAGGGCGCGTGGCTGTCACCAGGGCAGCGTGTCCCTGGGACTGGGACGGGGACAGGCCCTCCTGCACACCCCGGAGCGCAGTGCTGCCGCAGAAATGAACCTTTGGGGTGCTTCTGCACATAACCACCTCCAAAGGCGTGGGACAGGGCACGGGGTGGGTGCCAGCAGGAAACCCTAGGTGGAGCTGAGTTCGCCTTGGCAGGGAGGAACAGGCACAGCAGCCTTCCACGTCCTGAGGATTCGGGCAACCTCGGTCTAACGCTGCTCTTTGCTCTTCTTTGTAAAACCAAAAAGGAGCTGGGCTCAAGAACCACCAGAATCTTTTCTCCCTTAATATCAAACTTATTTACAGTGAAATTTAGATATGGTTTTGTTTGACAAATTCCTTGACGTCTGCTGAGCTGTGGTGGAAGGAGGACGGGCTCCTCCTGGCTCACCTGTCTTTGTTGGGGCATATTTCAGGGGAGCTGGGGTTGGATGAGGTTTCAGATTTCATCTCTTGGGAAGAATGTCCCAAATCTGGTGTCTTCTGGGCTCCAGAAACACTGTCACTGAGGGCACAAAGAGACAAGTTGCATGAGTTATACAACAGACTTTAAAAGGATGGTCAAATTGTACTACCTGACACCAGCTATAAACTGTGAGAGTGGCAGAGGCTCTACAGGCACCACCACAAACTCACCACCTGGTCCTGCTCTCCGCCTGGCTCTCCGATGTCGTGTGCAGGCGGGGGAACAGCCCTGAGCGGCGCTTGATGGGGCTCCTGGACTGGTTCTTGGCAGCAACAGCTGGGACAGGGGGCTGGCAGCAGAGAACAGTCTGGGTCTGAGAGCCCCTCGGGCTGTGCGGGGCTGGGAGGAGGCAGGGACACAGGGACACGGGGACACAGGCACACAGGGACATGCTCACCGAGAAGGTGGTCTTGGTCACCTCGCCGCTGTTGTGGGCAATGCCCCCGCTGAGGCTGCCTGGGATGCCGCTGCCATGGTGCTTCTTCTGGCTGCCCACCATGGTCTCCATGGAGTGGCTGCGCACCCGGATGGCTCTCTGTGCCAGAGGGGACAGGGACAGCAGGTCAGCACCAGGGGGCTGCTGTCCCCAGAACTCCTCCCCGGGCACAAGGGAGAGCCAGCCCCTGTGCCTCCCCGAGAGCAAGCACACCCCAACAGCAGCACAGCTGAGCACGGCTGCCCTTGGGGAGCCCCACAGCCACCACAGGATCAGATTTTCCCCCATTGCTCTGTGATATCAAGGACTCCATCTCTGGGACCAGGAGATGCGGACACAAGCCCCGAGCCCTGGCCAAGCTCGCAGACCCCTCGGCAGGAATGGGGACCGCAGCCAAGCCATAAGCCTTGTTTGTGTGCACACCCTCCACAATTCTGCCTGGACTCAGAGAGGACACATCCTCTCCTGCCTTTCTTGCACCTCTCCTGCACCTCTCCAGCCTACTCAAAACAGCCCCTGAGCTGGAGGCTTCACAGCCACATGAAAGTGCTTCTGTTCTTCAGCAAGCTCCTGCTTGAGAATACATTTAGCCTGAACCCCTGCTGTGGCTTCTGGTTTGGTTTATGCACCTCTGGAAGGGACTGGAGGTGAGCTGTGCAGCACTGGCCCCACGGCAGCCACAGGCCCTCCCTGCTCCTGTGGATCTTCATTTCTCCCCGTCCCTTCCCTCACTCTTCACATCAGCAACCCTCTCCATTCTCCTCTCAGCTATTCCCTCAGCCATGGCTGCTCCAGCCCCTGAACCCCAGCCCAGGCTAAAGGGTAAATGAGCATGGCTGGCCGAGTTCCCTGGGTGCCAGCACTGCATCTGCAGCATGCAGGCTGTTTGCTGCTGGCTCTGGGGCTCATGGAGCCACAGGGGGACCTGCACAGGGTGAGAGGAACTGCAGCCCTGAGCTCTCACCGAGCCTGCAGTGCTGCAGACCACAGTCCCAGCAGCCCCTCCTGCCCAGCCAATAATGAACATCAGGCAAGAGTCCATCAGACTGCATTTATTGGGGTCAGCAGCATTGACATACAATTTGATGTTGTTCTTAGGTAAAAGTGATCAGTTGTTTTGCTGCAAAGCAGCAGCCACAGGCACTCCCACCCTGCAGGCTCCTGTCCAGGGCTGTGGAACTCTGTGGGGTTCCCCAAGAGCCCAGCCCTGAGCAGGGGCTCCTTTCCCCACACAAGAGGCAAAGGCCCCTCTCACTCACTCACCCAGAGCCCAGCAGAACTGAGCTCTGCTCACCGCTGAGAACTGGTCCCCTGGCCAAGGGGATGGGTCTGTAGGCTGAGTCGTGGGTGCAAGGCAGCGAGCAAAAAGGTACAGTGGGGACAGGTGTGAGCCCTGCAGCCTTTGTCAAGGGGACAGGTGTGAGCCCTGCAGCCCTCCTTTACCATGGGGACAGGTGTGAGCCCTGCAGCCTCCCTGTATGATGGGACCAGGTGTGAGCCCTGCAGCCTTTGCCAAGGGGACCAGATGTGAGCCCTGGAGCCCTCGGTGTGTGATGGGGACAGGTGTGAGCCCTGCAGCCCCCCTGTGTGATGGGACCAGGACTGAGCCCTGCAGCCGCCCGTTACCGTGTGTGCTCCCGTCACTCCCAGAGCACGCGGTGCAGGATGTAAGCCAGCAGGCAGCCCAGCAGCGCGGGCCCGAGGCGCCCCACACGGACCACGGGGCTCACCTCCCACCCCAGCACTCCCTGCAATGCCAAGAGAGCACGGGCTGTCTCCTCACACACACACAGTGGGCCAGAACATGCCTGCCCAACCTCAGCGCTGAGACCTGACGTGAACGCTGGGTGTACGACTGGCTGTGCCCTTCCTACGCGTCTCACACTGCAACAGACACACCTGAGCCTCTGCAGCGGGGTATGGGGAGCTGTGCACCCTCCTCCCCAGCCCCATCCTCCGGGTACCCATTCACCATCTCACTTCTCTGTGCTACAGACACAGCCATGCCTGAGATAACAGCAGGAACTGTCCCAGCAGGACAGGCCCCTGCCCAGACAGTGACAGCCACCCAGCGCCAGCCCCTCCGTGCTGCAGGGCAGCTGCACCACAGACACCTGGCAGTGGCTCACCCCTCACGCTCAGGTGCTGCCCCTCCATCTCCAGGGGGTCCCTGCTGCCCAGCCAGCCACTGTCCCTGCTGCCAGTGGCTGCTCAGAGTTTCCCCCACAGCACTTTACCCACCCCTTCTCCTCCAGCCCACGTCACCTGCTTTCTCTCCCACGCACCCAGCCTCCCTGGCACACTCAGCAGCCCTTCCCCACTCCACACCCAGCATGCTATTTCTGTTTTAAGCACAATGACCACCACCCAGCTTGCTGTGGCAGCTGCCCCAGGCACCCCTCCTGCTCCCTGTCCCACAGCAGTGCCAGCCAGCAGCCAGAACATGAGCAGGACATGTCCTGCCACAGCAGAGCCCAGCTGCAGGCACGCTCTGTGGCAGGGGCCTGAACTAAGACCCCTCTGGGGACACAAAATGCTGCAGCACACTGGCACAGAGTGCTCAGGAGCTCTGGAGAAGTCACTCCAATGGGGACACTCCCCAACAATGCCACCGTGCCAGCTTTTGCTTGCTCCCACCGGGACCAGCTCGGGCACTCGGCAGACTGGGCAGGCAGTGGTGGCAGCTGCCCCCCCCCCCCCCCTCTTGCCACCCTACCCTCGGGGGACGTCTCTTGTCCCCCAGCGTGCACTCTGCCAGCCCCAGGTGCCTTTTAGCCCTGCCGCTGGCAAGGGCAGGGCTTTACCTTGAAAGACTCCAGGAAGCCTCCGTGACCGCCGTTCTCCATCTTGTCCTCCTCGGGCCCCAGCCCCAGCATGGTCTGCGTGTGCCCGTGCAGCTCGTCGTGCAGGTTGTCCAGCAGGGCAGCCCGTGTCCGGTCCTGGGGAGAGCCAGGGCTCAGCCAGGGCCCGGGAGGAGCAGCGGCACTGACCCAGGGCCCAGCCCGTCCTCTGGAGGGGACAGCCACCCACGGGCACCACCGCTCGTGCCTGCGAGCACTGCCCCAGCTCGGCAGGGAAGGGCGGCTCTGGGGAGGGCTGGCACAGCCCCCAGAGCTGCCCCAGGCGGGGACACGGGGGCAGCGTTACCTCCAGCTTGGCAAACTTGTCGGACTTGCAGCAGGCGTTCTCAGCATTGATGAGCTTGGTCAGCAGGAACTCTCGGAACTCGGGGCTCTGCGGGGACAGAACCGAGGCACAAAACGCCCTCTGGCTCAGGACTCTCTGTGTCTCTGGTAGCACAGCTGTACCAACCCAAAACCCAAGCTCTCAGCACCTGGCAGTGCCTCCAGATGTGGAAGCATTGGTGGAAACCCCAGGGGGTTTGAGGGGCTCGCCTGCACCAACACAGTGCCCCAGCACCAGAGCTGCTGCTGCTGCCTTGCTCAAGTGATGCCATGCTGCGGTGCACGGCCACTCACCCTACCATAAACACCAGGGGCCCCAATGGAAACCAAAATTAATGCAGGCCAATTCCAGCAGTCCTGTTTTCCCCAAGCCAGTGTGCTTGGACACACCTCGGACACGCACATCTACATTTCTACAGCTTGGGACACGCTTCCCTGGCAGCCCCTACCTTCTGGAACACCGGCGGGCTCGGCAGGGGCGGGCCAAAGGAGGGAACATCTTCCCGGGCTGTGACTGACACCTGGGGAGCCAAGAGACGTGTTATTCCCACGGCTGCAGCAGGATAACAGGGTTTGTACCATCTACACCCAGGTGATATGTCAGATTGTTCCAAACACTGAGGATCATCAAAACTCTTTAACAAATGAGCTGTTTCACAAACATGTATTTCATGTACTGCTGTCTGTATAGACACACATTCTGTCACAGTGCATACATAACACACCTGTGTGCACACGTGTTTGTGCTCAGCACACAGGTACAAGTCCCCACCAGGCTTAACACTGACTGCAGCACTGAGCACAGGGCAAGTGCCCTGGGCAGCCTGTGCCGGGGCTCACCACCCTCACAGGGAAGAATTTCCTGCTAATCTCTAATCTAACCCTACTTTTGCAAGTGGGAAGCCATTCCCCCCTCGTCCTGTCACTCCATGCCCCTGTCAAAAGATGCTGAAGCAAAACTGTGTGGGTGACCCTGGGACTGCCCTCACCTTGTACGCTGTATTGTCTGCCTCGGGGTTCTCCACCTGCACCACGATGTAGGCATGCAGGAAGTTGGAGGCAATCATGTCTGGCACGAATGGCGTGTTCTCCTCTTGGAAGATAATTGCCACTATGTCGTTGCCAATGTGCCTCTTCCTCTGGAGCTAAACCAGCAGGGAGAACATTGGGTCAGTAAAACCAGGCAGCTCTGCTCCTGCAGCAGCAAGTGCCAGTCCCGTGCTGGGGAGCCAAGCAGCCCCATCCCACGGGCCAGGGCTCAGCAGGGCCCACAGCACTGGGCAGCGTCAGGGCATCCCCACTCAGTCCCCTCTGAGCAAGCAGCCACGTCTCTCTTACTTGTTGTGTGTCTCCTTCGGTAAAAGGCAGCTTGGTGGAGACATGAAACATTATCTCCCTGTCCCTGAACACCGTGTACACAGACTCCACTCCCGTCTGCCCGTGGCTGACATCCAGGCCTCCTCGAAAACTGGAGATCAAGGGAAAGGCGGAGAGAAGCTCAGAGATGTTAATTGAAAGCTTCACAGGGAGCACCAGCGGCTGTCGGGGGACAGGCTGATGAACAGCCCAGCTCATTTATCTTTATCTAGCAGCGAGCAAATGGGAAAGAACAAACCGTGCGTCATGTGCTGTAACCAGCCATCGCTGTCACCAGCCTGAAATACAGGGTGCACACGAGGCAGGGCTGGTCAGCAGGGCTGACCACGGCCAGGGGCACGAGCCGTGGCCTCCCCATCCCTCAGCAGCAGCGGGGGTCTCTGCCTGCACGGTGGGACTGCCCGGAGGCACCCACGGCTGAGCCGCGACGCCCGGCACAGCACATTGCCACAGACTGCCTTCCATCTACGGCTGAATATAGCCAGATTTTATCACAACCTCAAAGCTGCAGGAAAAGAAATTTTTCTCTCTTGGCAGCTCCAATTTTTTTTTAACTCCCCCAGCCTTGAAAAACAAGCCAAAACTATATTTGCTTCTGCTCCGCACATCCCGCTCAAGAGCGAGATGACTTCTGTTCTCACACATAGATATTTTTACATATGACATGGTCTCTTGTTAATGTATTTGTAAAATCATCCTTTTTATTTAACTTACCCTTTGAAGTCCTGGAGAGTTATGGTGTCTCCCAGAAAACTTAAGAAGTTCTTGAAGGCAGTGCTCTCTTCATTATTGCCAAACAGCTCCTCCTCTTGTGTCTACAAAACACAGGGTGTATGTGCTGACAGCCCCAACTTCCCTGCCTGTCCAATCCCCTGCCACCTCCAGCTCCACCCACGGGATCCCTGGGGTCTGACCAGCACCTTGTTGCCTGGTGTCCTGCACAGCCACAGGCTGCTCCCCACCTCTGCTCCCCGGCTGGCACCACCACATTCCCCACCAGCACCATCCCCGGGCTGCACAGCCCGCTCAGCACCCAGCACAGCCCCGGGCAAAGCTGCTGAGAGCCTCCTCTGAGCCCCAGCAGGGCCTTAGGACAACGTCCAGGAAATACCAAACCAGAAGTGAATCCTCTGTTGAAAAATCCCTAATCATCTCCCGCTTGCTGTATTTCAAAACAATGAGACCCTAATTACAGCCTTGCATGAGTCACTCAATCCAACCCAAAATGCAATATGTAGAGTGCCTGTCAGAGTAATTCTCAGTGAGTTCTGAGGCTGAGTTCTGCACTCCCCATCCAGAGTCCCCCTGCTAATGACAGCACTTTCAGCAAGCACCTCTCTTCAGAGCCCACAGTCCCTCCAGACAAACGTAGCTGTTTAGCTGTCTAAACATATATCTGATTAAAACACCACGCCTGCTAAAATCCATTTTCACATCCGCTTTTCCCTACAGCAGCTTGTGGGCTGATTTCCATACTGAGACTTTTCAGTCATATAATTTTTTAATGAGTAGGGAAAACATCCGAGCAATGAGAAACACAGTCAGTGAGGACAGCCAGTGCCACGAGGTGCTGCACGTAGCAGAACCAAGGTCATGGTTGAGCCTGTGCTCCTGAAACGTGGATCTCTGGGATCACCGGGACATGCTCCATGGAAGCAGCGTGGGGACAACTCACCTGCCTGAACTTCTGATAGATCACACCAAACTTGAACGTGTTGTTGACCTCATGCTCATCATAGGACACTATCATCTGGGATGCCTGCAGGAAAGCAAAATGCCAATAGTTTCATCTGGTGGTTCAAAATGTGATGGCCAAAAGATCCACGGAGAGGGGTGAGGAGAGCCCACCAGAGCTGCAGCAGGGTACAACAACAGCTGGGCAGCATCAGGGGAGTGGAAGGGGGAAAGAAGCCAAACTCCCAAATAATTAGGCTAAAAGTTTTCAACAGTGGCCCAGGGTGTGGTTCTCAGTGTCCCTGCAGAACACACAACCAACTTGGGCAAGTTAGCTCACCTTGGGGTAGAGAACCGGGTTAAACTTCAGCCCAGAGGCATCGTCACAGAAGGCCTGTGGGCAAGGGGAAGGAGCAGTGAGTGCCAGGTGCTGGGCCAAAACTTCAGCCATCAATGTCTTATAAAGAAGCCAAATACAGTCTCCAATGGCAGGAGCTCCCCACTTCACATCCACCATTGGGATGCCCATGGCCTGGCTGGCCCGACTGAGGATGCAGCCAGCCAGGTCCCAGGTCCCTCCGTGTCAAAGGAGAGCCCCTTGCTCTCCTTGCAGGAAAACAACAGCACCACCCAAGTGCCCCTTGACCTGAGAGCCCAGGCACTGCTGCCCAACACTGCCCAGCACTGCCTGGCACAGGCTTTGCTGCACGAGTTCCAGCCAAGCCAGAAAATTCACCTTTGCAATCTGGGGAATACTCGGGAGTTTGCTGAATCCTGCCAATGGGATCCTTTCATGCAATGTCTTCACTTTGGACCTGGCAAAGAAACAACGAGCACACAGATGTCAGAGTGTCTACAGCAAAGCAACATCCGCTGTTGGGAAACACAGTTGTGCTGCATTTGTTGGGCCTGGTTAGTGAGCAAAGGCTCGATTTGTCTTCTCATCTCTTAAAATATTCATAGTTCGAGGGAAATGACACAATGGTTAAATGACACAATGGTTCAGACATGCTGGGTCCTGTCAGCTTATGGAGGGATGGTGAGAGAAGTGACTGGTGTTATCCCAGGGAGGATTAAACCCCAGAGGTTTATGTTCAGTTCCAGCAGGTTTAGCAACAGATCAAAGTCTCACATTCATTATCAGGTTTAGGCAGTCCCAGCACAAAAACACAGCTATGCTGCCACTGCCTCCCATCCCACCCAGACCCCTCCACATGCTGCCAGTCCAGCTCAAGCACCTGCTGTAGAAACAGAACCAGGGACTCACAAAGAGAGAATATTTTGTTAAACAAAGATTTTTTTTTTCTGTACCTGAGTATAACCCTTAAATATTCTGTGCCATCTGTCTCCTCGCATTTAACAGAAAGGATCAGATTTCCAAGGCTGCTGGCTGTACAGTAGAAATTTAAATGATCCTAAAAATAGAAAACAGCATGTTAGCAGCCGGGAAGCAACGCGCCGATGGCAAGGACACTGCCTGGCCACTCACCTGCCACCCCACAGCCTCCCACCGCCCACCCTGCACCCCTTGCCAGGAGCAGGGCTGCGAGCAGGAGGGCAGGGGCTGCCCTACAGGCCCCGTGTCTGGCTGGGCCCCAGGGGCAGGAGGCTCAGAGCCAGCACCCCCATTGGTGTCACAGGAGACCCGTGCCCGTGGGGCTGGGGCAAAGCCACACGTGTGGCCATCACTGCCATGCTGGGAACCCACCACTGCTCCATTCCCTGCAAGGAGGGAAATTGTAAAACTCGCCCATTTTGCTCTCAACCGGAAAGTTTTCTTAGCCAAAGGGTTGAGCCCGTGGGGTGGAGAAACCCACCTTCCCCAGGAAATGCTTGCGGTAGGCTCTGGCCTCTCCCTTGCACTCCAGCTTGTAGCCATAGGTGCTGGGGCTGAGGTTTTCCTCCTCCTCCTCGCAGATGCTGCTGTCAGATGAGGTGGGCGTGCCAAGGTTTTCTGGGTCTTCTATCCAGTACCCCCCAAACTGGGGCAGGATGATCAGTGGGTACGGGCTGCCCTTCTCCAGGATCTGCAGAGACATGTGCCACGAGGGCTCAGGCAGGATTGGGGTGTGGATGTGGGATGCAGAGCTCACTGCTCCATGTTTTGCCCCTCTACTGCAGCAGACCCCAGCCCTGGAGGGACAAGTCCAGCCCCTCTCTGAAACCTCTTCTCTGTGACAGAAGAGGGCACATGCTACTGAGGAAAAGCCAAAAGCCACAAAGGTAGGGAGGAGGAACATGCTTTATGTAGCTCCTCTCAGAAACAGAATCTCCACCAATTCCTCTGCCATCAGCAGTTTTGGAAAGGCATTCACAAGAAGGTGTTCAGGGGGTTCAGGGCACCCACCTCATCGATGCTGGGGTACGGGATGTAGTCTTCCTGGAAAAAGGAACCAAAACATCATCCATGACCATCTGCTCCCCCGGCTGTCCCTTAAAACCCCAGCCCTGCCCACCCAAGCCAGGGAATGCCTCCAGCACCTATTGGTCCCTTGCAGAAGGGCACCAATGCAAGCTAAGCCCTGCCTAAAGGGAGTTCCTCCACTGGTGCAACTTCCAGTGCAGTGGCAAAACCCCAACCCTTTCGCACAGCTGGGAGCTGACCTGCACTGGGCTGGGCATAAAGCTGGATTAGGGATTTACAGGCACCATGCTCCCATCTCTGCAATTCAATCAGTGCCTTGTTTTTAGATAACATCCAAATCCTTCCCAGCCCTTTGAGTGACTGTCTTTGACAATCACAATAAACCTCCGAGAGGGGGGGGACACTTGAAGAGATGCCCCCAGGAAACAAAAATCAACCAACCTTGTGTTTTTGGCTTCCAGACCTCTGTTCTTCCAGTTTTGGTGCCTGTTTGGAACAAAATGAATGCATTTTAGATGCTTTGACCCACACAGGGGGTCAGTCCACCAACATGAGGGTATTTTGCTACATGGAGATCACTCCAATCCAAGTGGCTGGAAGGTGAGGTCTGTTCCTGGGACAGGCCCTCTGCCCTCAGGGGCTGTGCTGGGGCAAACATCCCGAGTTTCTGGCATGCACACTGCTGCTCACCTGCATTTTTTCCAGCATTTCGAAGAATTCTGCCGACTGAAAAGAAAAGAAGGAAATCGACTGTTCGAGAAAAGCAGACACAAAGCAAGCCAGTCCAAGCCACATGACAGCAGGGACACTGGACCCCCACCCCGAGCACTTGTCCTGCTCCCTGAATGTGACCAAGCAGCTGGGATTCCCATGCAGCCCCACCTGGAGCTCAGCATCATTGCTGCAGCTGCCCTTGCCAGAAGACCTCGACCCCCAAAAATGCCGAGCTTTGAGCACGTTTGATCAGGGGCCTTGAATCATCTATTTTCTTAATCACAGCAGCGCTGGTGAAGCTGCTGCCTGTGGTGCTGGGCTGCCCAGCGCAGGGTTAATCCCCTTGCCGCAGGAACCGAAGAGATTACTGAGCCGCTCCCGTTGGAATCCCCGTTGTGCTGCCGGCTCGGGAGCGCGGGGCAGGAGCCGCGCACAGGGCAGCGGCCCCGCGCCCCGGGTGACACGGAGGGGCTCAGGGACAGGAACCCACCGGGGCGGGCTCAGCCCCCCACGGCCCCTCCGGAGAGCTGCCCAGACCCCGCTGACGGCTCAGCCGCGCTCGGCCTCGGGACCTGCAGGTCCCCCTGCTCCGATGTACCTGTGCTGCCCAGCGGGGCCGTGCGGGAGCTGCTCGGGGCCGCGCCTCCCGCACCGCTCCGCACCGCAGCAGCCGGGCCGGCCGGACAGCCCCGATCCCCCTCCCAGCTCTTGCTGCCGCCAGGTACACACAAACAAAGCGCCCAGCCAAGCTGCGGCTGTGAACGCGGCTCTCCCCTAAGCCCCTAAGTGGCTTTTCTGGAGGCGGCCGCCCCCGCCCCGTCCCTTGGCTCTGCCCTCCTTTCACCGGGCCGGGAGCGGCAGATCCCCCAGGGAAACGCGGCATCAGCAGCCCCCATCCCAGCGGCGGCCAGAAACGGCTCGCGGGAGGGACACGCGTGATTTGGGGCCAAAAAAAGGGGTCACGGTAACAAGGGGAAAGGCAAGGGGGGTGATTTTTAGTGAGCTCTTAGAATAGACTAATTTCTCAAAGGACAAAAAAAATAAAGGAAAAAACAGAGAAGAGGATGAAGAAATGAAAATCAAAGGAAAAGAAAAGTCTCAGAGACATTTTTTCCTTTAATATTTGTGGTGAGCAAAGGTCGAATATACAGCACAAGCAGTCTGTGGCTGCCAGCACAGGTGGGGCAGCTGTGCCCCGGACACCACCCTGGCTGTTTCCAGCTTTAGACCATGCCTCTCCTCACCTAACACACCTGAGGGAGTCAAAAAGAAAAACCCCAGGCTCAGACAGCTCTGTGCCCACAGCAAAATACTCTTTGAAAAGCCTTCCTTAGTTGGAGCTTGGTTTGGATTCTGTTTATCTCCAGGTACAAATGTTCCAGGGTAGTTTCAGGTCCTGCTCTACCAGTAACCAGAGCCAAGACCTGACCTCACGGTGGCACCAGACCCAGGTGCTACAGTGAGCGCCACAGAAAATACCACACGTACTGAGCAAAGCCTGCAGCTCCCCAGAGAGCTGTGCACACCTAGAGCCAGCTTTGCTGGGCCACAGAGGGAAGGACGGAAAGAAAACCCTGCACCAGGCAGGAGCAGAGTGGAGGGCAGCAAACAGAGCTGGGCACCCCTGCCCAGCACTCTCCCACAGATGTCACAGCCCTGGAAGAAATCTGTTACCTTCCTGAAGAGAAGAAATCTATTCCCATCGCTCCCCGCCCGCATCAGCCGCACCGCCCGAGCTCCTCGGGGGCACCCAGCAAAGCCGCAGCCCGGCCATCCCGCCCAGCCCCGCCTCCCCTCGGGGATGGTTCCTCATCCAGAGGCGCAGCCGGACAGCCGGATTGTTATTCCAAAGGGTGGCAGAGCCCGGAACAGGCTGGGCGGGAGGCAGGTGCGGTTTGCTGGGACAGGTGGGGTTTGCGGGGACGGACAGGTGGGGTTTGGGGGGACAGGTGGGGTTTGCTGGGACGGACAGGTGGGGTTTGGGGGGACGGGCGGGTGGGACAGGCACAGCTCAGGGTGCCCGGCCCCGCGGCGGGCACAGCGCCTGCCCATGCGGGCACGGAGCGACCGGCACGGGGCTGGGAGGGTCAATGGGAGGGAACCACACTGGGAATCACACAGAGCCACCCAAACCCAGCACACAGAGCCACCCGGCCCGGGGCTGGGAGGGTCGCTGGCAGGGAAGCAGCCCCCGGACCCAGCGCCCCGCCTGAACGGGAGCGTCGGTGCGGGACGGGCCGCAGGCACGGCGCCGCCGCGGGGGGAGAGGGACGGAGCCGGAACAGGGGAACAGGCTGCCGGCTGGATTGCAGACACACCTACTGCCGCTCCTGCGGGAACAGCCCCGAGCCCTGCAGCCGCTGCGCTGGCAGCGCCGCTCCCCGCCCGCCCGGCGCTCCGGACCCGGCCCCGCACTCACCTTCATGGTCGGGGGCGCCGTCAGCGGGGGGGACAGCGGCCGCTCCGGGACGGCCACATCCGTGCTGTTGAGCAGCTCCTGCTTCCTGGAAAACCAAACACAGGCAGGTCAGCTCCCCCCGCCCCAGCCAGCGCACCGGGCAGGAGATAAGGGTTATCTCCCTTGGCAAAGCCGTGGTGTGCAGCTGCCTGTACAGTAATATCTGGAATCTGAGAAAAAACCCAGCAGACAGTGTGAGGAGGCGATAAAAGCCATCAGAAGAGCCCGTGCCCAGGGTGGGCTGCGAGTCCCCATGCCTGGTGCTGGTGGTGCAGGGACAGCAGGGCTGTTCCTATGACAGGAGCCAGCCATCCCCACGGCTTCCCTCCCCACCTGGGCAGGACCTGCGGCTGAGCGGCCCTGTGGCAGCAAAGGAGGCTCAGGGACACCCAGGGACACCCTAGCATGGCTTTGGAGGGACCCAGCTGAGGGCCCCAACACAGCACCTGGCACCCGATTTGGAAGTACCAAGAGCATCGTGAAGATGCAAGACCGCAGGAAAGCAGAAAGCAGCCCCTGTGCCACGGAGCTGTCAAGACAGCCCCCCGAAAGTCCCCTAAGCTTTGGGAAGTACGGCCTCAGCCCTCCCCTGAACAAGATTCCCATCCCCGTCGCCCGGCGGTTCCCGGGCAGGCAGCCACGCCATCACACAGCGGCACTGCCAGATGCTCCTCCGGGAGTCAGAAAATCTGAGATTTAATTTAGTTTCCTCTCGTCCCTGCCAGGTTAGTCCTGCAGAAACCGGGCCAAAATGTCCAACTGTTTATCTCTCGGTAACGAGGTTTGGTTCCCATGGCAGCGCGCCCCGGGATGCTCCGCGCGGCGCCGGCACCGATCCCGCCGGGCTCTCCAGCACAGCTCCTGCTGCAGGAACACCCCTGAAACCCCCCGGGCTGCCCTCCCATAGCCCCGCACCCCGGGCTGCCCTCCCCACAGCTCCTTCTGCAGGAACACCCCCGAAACACCCCGGGCTGCCCTCCCCACAGCCAGCCCCCCGCGCTGCCCTCCCAGGCCCCGGGACTTGTGACAGCGGGTGACAACCGCCTGCTGGTCATGGGCGCCTGCAGCCCCTCCTCAGCAGCCACGGACGCGCTGGGGAATGAGCTGGGGAGGCAGCAGGGATGCTGGGGAGGCAAAGTGGGACCAGCAGCACCATCCTACTCACAGCCAGGGGAGTCATGGCCCCACCTGGGCTGTGCCAGCAACACGGGCTTAGCCAGAGGCACTGGGGGCAATACCCACTGCATTGTGCCCAAATGTGAATCCAGACCAAGAACTGGTGTTTCACATGACAATAAATCAAAGTAAATCTTCTTTCTCTCTTTTTCATATCAGAGCAGGTAAAATTTACATTATTACACCTCATTTGAGCTCCTGGTATCTTCCAGTTTTTCCCTGCAAGATATTAACTGAAGCAATGTGGGGCAATAGCATAATTCCCATCCTGCCCACCCATACTGTTTATCAAGCTCCTTCCCTCTCTGCTCTCCACAACCTCACCCTGTCTCTGCTGCTGAAAAATGCCGAGATGACAGATTTTCCTTGTTTGCTCTTTGACTTTCTAGGACACTAAAGCACAGCCTGATCTGGAGCAAACCACTCATCCTCTGCTCTCCTTGCTTTGAACCCTGAGCTCTGCCTGATTGCACTCAGCTGCACAGTGGCCTCAAAGGCATAAAACAGATACGACTTTGAAAAGATTAAAGTTACAGGGATGCGCACAAATAATTTGATTTGATCTGGGATTTGTAGTGGGTTGCCATAGCATCATATTCTAAGTATTATAAAATCCCCCAACTTAACAACATGTTCCTCTGTCACATGCTGGCTGCTTCTTTGGGGCCACACTGCTGGAACTGCTCCTGCAGTTCCGGGAGAGCAAAACAAGCCCATCCCCAACGACTGCTTGGAACGGGCCCTGCGCTGAGAATCTGTTATGGTAAAGTCCAACCACAGACGCCGATGATTCAGCCCCCATCAGCGCTGGGGTCAAGGGCCGGCGCCCGTTTCCCAAACTGATTGCCCTCGGGGGATGGCAAATGAACCGGGGGAAGATCAGCACGCCTTTGTCAGCGCACTGGGGCTCGCAGCAGCCCCGCTCAGTGAGCCGGTCCCCAGCTGGCACTGAGGGCGCCTCTCTGCACAGCCTGAAGCACAGCAGGGGTGGCAGGTGCCCACCGCAGCGAGGATGGGCGTTGGGGACCTCCCCTCGCCTCTCCCTGGCACCACAGGAGAGGCACAGCCCCAGCACCGACAGCCAAAGGGCACAGCGCTGTGTGCTCTCCCTAAGGGGGCACCCGGCAGCTGCCAGGGGGCTCTGCCCGCCCCCGATGCCCCCGTGCCCACACTGGCCAGGGCCACGGCCGGGCACCAGCGCACAGGAAGGGCCAGAGCATCCTCCGGAGCCGGCGGCCGGACACCAGCCTCTCCAGAAGGAAACGTGGGCATCACTTCTGTAATTATTTCTTTGTTTTTCTCATTAGGCAAATTAAGAGAGAAGGAAAAAGAGAGAATTAGAATCCTGCATTCTTAGTAAATCTAATTAAGGAAATACCTTAATGTGGTTATGGCAGGGCCGAGTGCAGGGTTTCCGAACGGAGTCTGAGATCACCCCAGCCATCCCGGCCCCCAGGACTGTGCTGGGCACCTGTTGCCAGCTCTAGGGAGGCAAAGCCCACCTGCCAAGGGCTGCTCTCCTGGCTCCTTCCAAAGAGGGAGAAAACGGGGATTTTTCCCCCCTTTTTGGGGGGAAACCACAGACACCGGTGAGTTTCCAGCACAGCAAGGGCAGGTGAGGCCTTGCTCTTTAAAGCATCAGGGAGATCACAGTCCTAAAGTCCTTCAAATTAATATCCTGTATTTAGTAAACCCCATTGACATACTGAGATTCTGATTAAAAATTCCTGCTCAGCACAGACCAGGGCTGCCTGGACCCCTGGCGTGTTCCCATCCAGACCCTGACTCAGGGTGCACACTTCTCTCATCTCTCTCAAGCCAAAGCCTAATGAAAAACCCCCAGTGCCTCCCACCTCCTCATTGTGTCCATCTGATTTGTTTCCCAGACAGGCTCTAAATCAACACAGTACCTTTAGATAAACCCCAGGTGGGGAGGGGAGATGCCAGCATCTTACCTGACATGTGAAATGCTCCTCATGTGGTTGGCTCTACTCTGTCAGGATGTGCAAATGGGATGGGAGCACCCCAGGTTACCCGTATGCCTGTGCTTAATTCCACAGATCAAACCTGGCCTAAGGAGGTACCAAACTCCTGCAGCAACAAGTCCTGCCTGTCAGATGCCTCATCCTTGAGAAGGTCAGCAATGACTCTCCTGTAAATTAACAGCCTCTATTTTTGGACTCATATTTTTTTATCCTCGATGGGCATCACCTTGCCAGCTGCTTCCTTTTTAGTTTATTTCATATTGCATGCCTGATCTCCTAAGTTTCCAGAGGGGATGTGCTTCCCTACCACTTTCCATCCTGCCCCTAGCCAGGCTCAGCCCTGCCCACAGCGGGCAGTGGGGCACAGGCTGCTCGTCCCCCCTCTGGGGGGCTCCTCTCATGCCCCACACGGCTGGGACTGACCCCTGGCTCCCGGGACACGAGCACCTGCCGACACACCAGGCAGAGCAGCACGGCCAGGGGCCCTTGCCAGCTGCTCACAAATTGCACAAGAAAACAAAACAAAAAAAAACCAAACAAAAACTGTGGGTTTTTGCATCACAGACAAGGGCACCTTGCTGTGAGTTTACACCTGGAAATCTGCAGTGAGTGCCTGAATGAAGAACCTTGCCCTGACTTTGAGCAGCTCTCCACCCAATCCCAGGATGCCAGGCAGGCAAGATCTCGCTGCATCATCACTCATCCCACGGAGGACATCAGCAGAGGACATGCACTGCTGCAGGCTCCCACTGATGTCAGACACTTGTGGGGCTCCAGAATCCCCCCAGGCATGGGGTGCAGCCCAAGCACTCGGTGCTGCAGAGCTGCAGGACCCTTGGGCAGAGCCCCTGCCATGGAACATCTCTTCTAGAAACTGATTTACCTTGTTATGTCCTGGCTCAGCTTAGCCCTATTCAGCAGCGTTGCCTTCTCACATCGAAGCCTGACAGTCAGCAAAAAAAAAGTGCAGCATTTTCTCATCTACATTTCTTGCAATAAATTACATCTTTGCAAACTGCCAGCCTGCACCTGCACACACGCAGTGTCCCCAGCACTCTGTCCTCAGCCCTGCTCAGAGAAAGATGACATTTAATGCCACTGGGGTTGGCTGTAATTGCCCCTCCAAACAGCAAATAAACTTTGTTGAACAGTTCAGGGCACTGTGTGCCTGAGCAGGCAGGATCCCAGCTGCCTGCCCGGCCACGGGGTCCCTGCTGCAGCACACATTGCCCATCCTGCTGGGCAGGGGGGCCAGCAAGGGGCCGACTCCTGCTTTGCCTGCACCTCTACAGACACTGGAATCTGCCCAGCTGGCCAAGGGCTTCCCACTGGGCTGGGCCAGGCCAGGCCAGTGCGGCTCAAAATGCAAGTAATGGTGAAAAGAAGTTTTTATCTTTTACAAAATGTGCTGCCTACTCTGCCTTGCAGGAACAGAGAAAGTGGCAATTTCCTGCAGATCTGGGTAAATCAGCCAAGGCACTTGCAGACATTTTCAGACCAGAAGGCTCGTCTGATCCTATTCCTGCCAAACCCGAGCCAGGAACCTTGGGCAGCCGTTTCTGAGCTGATTCAATAATTTGCAAATTGCAGAGAACAGCTCCCAGAAACCTGCGTCTCCAAACGCCATGGCACTGCTGCCAAAGGGCTGTGAGAGGAGAATGCCCACACCAGGGCACCCACCCACCAGCTCTCCCCTGTCAGAGGACAGCCACCACAGCATCACCTCACTTGCATGTGGGACAGTTGGGAAAACTCATTTAGATATAAATGAGTTTTAGATATTTAGCTATAGATATAAATACAGTTCCAAATCCCAGGCTCTCAGAGGAAAGGAGGAGCCCACAGCAGCAGCCACCCCCCAGACCTCTCTGCTCCTCCCCTCAAG